TTTTAAAATCTGGAAATGCAATATTTATATTGTAACTTAACCACTCAATTAAAATCATATATTGACCAGGTGTAAAGTAGCAGGTCCAGTTATTTTCACTTACCCAGTATCTCAACCTCTGCGGCCATTTGGAATTCGCCCTGTCTATGAAACAGTCTGCATTTATTTTCTGTACAGTCCTGTTTTCTGTACAATCTTTTGTGGAGACTATTGTGCCAAGTTCTTTTTTTTTTTTTTTTTTTTCTAGCCTCAGAGAAACCGCAAACTCTCTGGGTGTCCGTAGAGCAAGTCTTCGGACCAACAGAGTCTCTTTAGATTGACTGGAGACGAGAGACAATGGGATACAGGAAATACACAAGCACACCAGACTGGAATCTTGGACAGCGAGGCTCAGTTGCTTTTAGTGTATTTTTATCTTCTATAAAGTTCCATTTTTGCTGGGATTACCTCATTTTTCAGACTCGCAAGTGAGGGTTTAACTAGTTAGTCCAGTAACTAAAATTATCATAATATTATTTTTAAAATCTGGAAATGCAATATTTATATTGTAACTTAACCACTCAATTAAAATCATATATTGACCAGGTGTAAAGTAGCAGATCCAGTTATTTTCACTTACCCAGTATCTCAACCTCTGCGTCGGCTGAATGCACACAATCCTGGTCACTGTAAACTTTACATGTGTATTTTCCAGCGTCTTCTGCTCTCACTTTTTCCAGTCGGATGGAGAAGTTTCCATCTTTAATTTCATCAGTAATGAAATGAGCTCTGTGATGATAATTTTTGTGCTGTTTCTTTGGTCGACTCTCACCATCTTCATACAGATGAACCAGAGTCTCTGAGTCTGTTCTTCTCCACTCCACCTTCAGACGTTTCTCTAACAAGCTTCCGTCAACCTGACAGGGCAAAACCACTGAACCTCCAAGAGGAACGATCTGATCATCAAAGGAACCTTTCACTTCGAACTCTGTAAAGAAACAGACACAAAGTTTCTCATGTGAAATAACTACAAACAAACAGATAAATAAATTGATATATATATATATTTTGTCGAGTGTAATGTCTGAAAAAGACTTTACATTGCTGGTGATGACAATTATTCTCTCTCTCTGAGCAAACTGTTTTATGATTTCCTCTCAGATAGTAGCTCTCACATACATTCACACTTCATCTCTACAGCAGCACAAGCTCATATTAGAGGTGACTCTAAGCTCCTTTTTAAAACTATTTGGCAACATTTTCACACTGTTTTTGGCTACATTTAAGAACTTAGCACAAAACTCAGAAAAGATCACACCAGTAACAGGTAGTCGATCATTAAAACCTTACCTTCATGATTTCATTAGGAACAGCAAAACACAACAGAATGATCTTCTTCCAATTTAGCAAACAATGCAATATATTAGTTTCTGAAAGAAACATTTTACAGTACAACATTCTCTAACCAAATTGTCCTACAATTTATAATGTCTGTAATATCCAGTCCATCAATTAAAATATGAACCCAGTCCTGGGGCCTGTACCATGAAGCTGGTTTAGCTGGCTAACCAGGTAAGTTTCAGTTTAGTTTGCACCAACTCTGGGGTTTGGGTACCATGAAAGTGGCTTAGCATTTAATGGTATTCATGGCCATAATTACGGACTTTAAGCAACAGCTGCTATATAACAGCATTGTGGCATTCTACTGCGCATGCGCAACTTTAACTGCTGCTTCGTCACATTGTAATGTAAGTGTATTCTGCGGGAGAATAGCTGATGTGCCATAGTAAGTAAATGTTATGTTTAATGGTATTTAGCATTGTAATTGTATCTGAATATTATTTAATGCCAAAATCAACCCTTGTCTTGCTTTTATAAATATGTAATTTTTGGGGGGCCAGTGTCCTGCAGAGTTCAGCTCGAACTTGCCTCAACACACCTGCCTAGAAGTTTCTAGTTTGACCAGAAAGAGCTTGATTAGCTGGTTCAGGTGTGTTTAATTAGGGTTGGAGCTGAACTCTGCAGGGCAGAGTTCAGCTCCAACAAACAAATATCTGTTAAATAAAATGTGGTGCTGCAAATATCTGCCCTCTGATATCTCTTGACCTCTCTGTTGGGCCTCTTGTACACAAAATCTTTGCCTGGTTCCTGTTTTACAGTCTATCCTTCTATATGGTGACAAACTGAACAAGTAATATATTAACACTGAAACTTAACATACACACAACCTGTCACTCACAGATATACCCTACATCACAAAAGGAGAGAAAAGACAAAGATCTGGACAAGATTTGGATAAGCAGAAATTGCATCCAGATCTTTGTCTTTTCTTTCCTTTTGTGATGTAGGCTATATCTGTGACACGAATGAAAAAAAAAGGTAGAGCAGGACTTGATTCTGTCCATCTGGAATTGATTGGTTCGTTGGATTGTTGTCATTTGCTATTGCTGTGATCTCATGTGACTGACAGATTGTGTGTATGTTAAGTTTCAGTGTTAATATAACATGTTCAGTTTGTCAGAAGGATAGACTGTAAAAGTGGAACCAGGCAATGATTTTGTGTACAAGAGGCCCATCAAAGAAGTCAAAGAGATGGACACCAGAGGGCAGATATTTGTTGTCTCAAAAAAGTACTGTTGACCATGCAACAAATCACCCAATGGCAGAAGCTGTCAAATTACTGTTAACACAACCAATACAGTTTAGTAATTGTAAGAACATTTGGTCAGGAAAAACAAACTGCAAGATATATGGAGGGGGGTGATGTCTTCAGAGCAGTTTAGATGGTATGTTCTTTTCATCTTGCCTCTGTATAATGCATAGTGGTGTTTATAAGCGCAGTGCTGCTTTGTTTACAGCGGTAACCAAGAAAAGGCTGTATTGCTGCTGTTTCATGAGCGCCACCTGCTGCCAGAGAGTGAATCTGCGTCTCATTCAGACCGTTTGCTGTGTCGTGCAGATGTTTTATATAGCATAGTTTCATAAAGCTAAATTCAGATTCTTGTGGTTTTGTTTATTTAATTAAAAAAAACTGCTTATGTTACATGTATTTAGCATCTTTGTTTGGATTGTGTTTAAAAAGCAGTGGTTGCCACTAATTTTCAATGGCTACAGATCTGCCTGCAATATAGCAAATAAACATTGTGATGTACTTATATTTTGATTCTTTCTTGTCTCTTGCTTAAAAAATTTAATTAAATAAAAAAATGTTATTGGAACCTGCAAAAAAAATCTGCAGTAGGAATCAGCCATTAACAATCAAGATTGGTGAATCCCTAGTATTGTTATTTGTTATGTAGCAGTTCAGCAGATTCTGTTTGTTTTTGTCTTTTATTTATTAACTTACGTGGTACCAAACTTGTCTCTGCTGTCCTGGTCACTGTAAAAAGGTCACTGTGAACTTTACATATGTATTCTCCAGCATCTTCAGCTCTCAGATTGTCCAGACAGAGGGAGAAGTTTCCATGTTGAACATCGTCAGTAAAGAAACGAGCTCTATCCTGATAATCCTGGTGCTGTTTCTCTGATCGACTCTCACCATCTTCATACAGATGAACCAGAGTCTTAGTGTCTTTTCTTCTCCATTCCACCTTCAGTTTTTTCTTTAATAAGCATTTGTCAACATGACAGGACAAAACCACTGAAGATCCCAGATAAAAATATTGGCCATATGTTTGCTGGCCAAATAAACCTGAAATATAAAAATAAAAATGTTTGCATGACGCCTTTTTAGTTAGACAAGTAACAATGGTTTCATATAGTTTATAATTTTCTAAGTATACAGACTAACTTTGTACTGGAAAGGGCAATTAACATGTTTAATATCCCTGCATTAGTGACATTATTTACATACATACACATTTGCACACATATAAATTAACACACACACACCTCTCTCTTTCTCACCCTCAATAAAGTTGATTCATTAATTGCTTGAGTGCTTTATTGCTGATAAATTTAAAATACAACATTGAATAATGAGTCTCAAGACAAGTTAAAAGGGTTAACAAGGAGAACAGGCCATATAAAACACAGATGTATTTAGACTAATTAACAAAATGATCTCAAATATCACAATAACTTCTGCTTTAATGGCTGCTCACACCTTCAAATCAGTCCTACATGATGCATAAATCAAGAATCACAACACTGACCTACTGAGCTTCTCTCTATAAAAACAAACTACTGCTGCTATGATGGACCTTATACTCACATCCACAGCATGTTCTATAGTTTCTGTAACACCACAATCACCATTTCCAAGCTTAAACACAACTGACAAACTTACACTTTTATCCTGTATGTCCCAATCCTTATTTACTGTAGACATCTCAACATTTCCCTCTTTGTCCTCTACAATATATTGCTCCCTCAGCACCACAGACTTCACAAACTACAAGACTATAGATACATTTCTAAATTCCTAAATCCATAATAATAATAATCATCATCATTTTTTGTGCTAAGCAGTGTCATTTACCAGCCTAAAACATTAAACTGTTTAATAAGCCATATGACACCGTGGTGAAAGATGTATTTATGCCAGAATAATGTAGATTCTGATTGGATACACAGGCTTATCAACATTTACATTTAATTTTTATTTATTATTATTATCATAATAATTGTCATTGGGTCATAATCTTGCAGTTGAAACCCACTGAATTGCAGCTGATAAGAATATTTTCCTGTTATACACATACCTTTAGTAGGAGATCTGCAGTAGATCAGGCAGCAGAGCAGGAGTGCAGATCCAGATGCAGAAATACAGAGAATCAGCACCATTATGTGTAAAACTGAGAAACCTGTCAAACACAAACAGTCACTGAACAAAGAGGAACAGTATTGTGTATAGTACTGTTCCCAGTATATTTCCTTCAAATACCATTTCTACTGATTTTGTGATATGTTTTCAAATGTTCACATCATGAGAATGAATGTGAATCACAGGAATCATTAAATGATCTATTTCATAAACCTGAAGAATAGCCTTGCTGTTTCTTCACATTTTGCTTCAGGCAATAACATGTCACTGCTCTTTTTTACTTTTTAACTGAATGTCTAATCAATAATGAAAACTCTTGATATCCTGGATCAATAATTATTGTTAAAGATTTCTCTCTGCAATTTCATGCAATTATGGAAATAAATGAAAGGGGAAAAAAAGATTAAAATACAGGCTTTTTAATTCATTTACTAGAGGTTGTAAGGTACTTTTACTTGTCAAGAGGCTTCGGAACAATATGTACTGTGAAATGTGTTTTACAAATAAACTCAAACAGAAAATTATAATTGCGGGGTCATTCCATGTGAACTCAACCAGAGGTTCCCAGGAACACAGTTGGGAAGATTCTGGTATAATTTATACCAGGGGTCCTGAACTCTGGACCTCGAGATCCACTTTTCTGCAGAGTTTAGCTCCAACCCTAATCAAACACATCTGCGCAAGCTAATCAAGGGCTTCATGATCACTATAAAGTTGCAGGTAGTTGTGTTTAATCCAGGTGTGTTTGATCCGAAGTATCGATATATAGATACTGACGCGAGTATCGAAAGTATCGATACTCAAACAAAAAATATCGATACTAAGGTGCGTTTTATTTATCAGTGGTTTTGTTTATTTAACAAAAATAATAATAATAATAGTGCGTACAATATGCATTGAATTGGACGAATAACCTTTGTTAGCGAGTAATTGTGTAGGATATAACTATTTTCCTGTTCATCTGAACACACGCAAATGTTGCAAAACAGAACCAATCAATCACAGAGAGCATTCACTCACTGCTGACAGTGCATTCACACAGGGCTACGTTTCCCAAAAGTATCATAAGAAAGCATTAAAGCTTTTGGGAACGGCAGCCCTGAACAATGCTTATCAGAGGACAGAAAAAAACATAAATGTTTGAGTTATTTCACAATAAACAAATTGAAATTGTAGCCTACATAGTTTGTGCAATTACAATTATTTAAATTGAACGTTGAAAGATAATATTGATCATGTTCTATTCTCTAATGTTAATAGAAATCATACACTGTCAGAATAAAAAGGTTGCATTTTATGCATGCAACAGCCGGTCACTGGCAGTCCCTAATGGCAGTACAAAATATTGCACTAAATCAAAAGTTCAAATGTTACAAATAAGTTAGAATATTAATGTTGTAATACTGGTAGCACTAATATAAAAATGAATATAAATGTCCTTTTAGACACTCTAATCTCCTTATTCAGTGTGTTCCTGACCTGATTGTACAAGACTCTGTACCCATTTCTGTAGGCATCCTCTTTGGCCTGATGAAGATGTCAGAGTTTTGCTGAAAACCATGGCTTATCATTGTTGAAAGTTAAATAAGTCCTGGTAGGAATGCATATATCCTCATAGAAACTAATATAGGATGTTACAGTCTCTGTGAGTTCGTCCAGATCGGAGGTAGCAGCTTCAAAAACACTCCAATCAGTGGAGCCGAAACAGGCTTGTAAAACCCACTCTGTTTCGTTGGTCCATCTCTTTACAGTCTTTACTGCAGGTTTAGCAGATTTAAAATTTTGTATTTAGGTCGGTATAAGATGAATCAGGAAGTGATCAGAGAGCCCCAAAGCTGGCCGTTGGACAGAGTGGTATGCATCCTTTATTGCTGCATAACAGTGATCCAGTATATTACTGTCTCTGGTGGGACATGTAACATTGCAGCATATAGTAAGCATATTGTATTCACAGGTGAACAAAAAATATCTTGCATACCACTACTGGTGAATGAGCCAGTTTAATGCAAATATGTCTGTGAAGCTGTCGCAGAAAGGGTTGTATTTTCTTTTAAGTATTTCAGTCATTTATTTTGTGAAAAGGTATTTAGTTCACATATGGTGTGTAATGTATTATGAATGTTCATTTGGAAATTGTTTTTGAGTATTATAAATACTGGGTAATAGTGACACCTACAGGTGAAATATGTGTACGTTAGTTGAATTTGTCACGTAATCTAGCTAGCCATGTGAGTATCAGATCCACAAATAAATACACACATGCTAAAAGCTGTTCGATTGTAAGATTATTTGTTAGAAGGAATATCTACATAAATGTATCCTAATGTCTCCTGGATTTCTAATTAGAAGGTACACATGGTATGTTGTTTATTCTTTGGATTTCATCTGTTAATTTGCAAAGTTAATGTACTGTGTGTATTGATATTGGTTCAGTAAGAAACAGACTTGGTTAAATTGTGGTAAAAACAGAAACACACTCACACGTTACGTATCTGAATGTAATTTTATTTGTTTCAGTTTTTCACAGTGTCATGATGTAAAGATGTCAAAATGTTGATATCCAAAGGGTGTCACGATGTTCAAGTGATGTCGAAATACGATCAAGATGGCGATGACGATGATACTTATAGCCTACTCTTTGCAAAGAAGACATTAAACGTTAAGACATCAGTTGAAGCGTGATTCTTTTAATCAGAAGAAAACCTTCAGGAGCCATTACAGTCTGAAAGATCTGACGTATGCCAATAGCACGAGGATATCGTCACGTTCTCGCGAGACCAGTCGGATCTCGTCACTCCCCTAGTGGGGAGTGCAACCACACTTCTCTAGGATGCATGAAACTTGTTTCAAACATGTAGATACGATACTTACGCAAGTCTTGGTAGCTTCAAAAGCACTTAAAATGAACAAAATCCCTTCTTCCAAATTTCCCTAATACTGATTCAAACATAAAATCTTCTGAATAGACCGTTGAGATTAAGTTAATGTTCCTCAACTTGACCATTCTGTGTATTTTTGCCTATTAGACAGGTATGTCCAATGCAGTTGTTTTGATAGAGGTGAACCAGCTAAATTTCAAATTTCAACATTATTTGCTCTTCAGCTGTTTCTCTCTAAAGGAACGGTTGTGGCCTAATGATTATAGAGTCAAACTTATAAACCGAAGGCCATAGGTTCAATTCTCAGTACCAGCAGCAAATGTAGGAAGGGGAGTGAAGAACAGCACTCTCTTCCATACCACCTAAAAATGAAGATACCAAAAGAAGAGTTTAAAAAGGAAAGGACGTGACGTGTGGCCAAGTATGGTGTCCCATACTCGTAAATTGTGCTCTGCATTTCACCCATCCAAGTATTCTCCAAGTAATCTCACGGCAGTAAGTAGTGAACACACACACTGTGACCACACACCCGGAGCAGTGGGCAGCAATTTCTGCTGCGGCTCCCGGGGAGCAGTTGGGGGTTCGGTTCTTACTCAAGGGTCTCATCTCAGTCGAGGTATTGAGGGTGGAAGAGAGCGCCTTTACAAGTCTGACTCTTTAACCATTAGGCCACGACTGCCCTGAACCAAAATCTACGGAACCAAAGTAAGAACCAAAATCTAAAAGGATATTAGGATTAGTGGTTGACTGATATATCGCCAAGGCCAATATATCGGCCGATATCTGCCATTTTTCAAATATCGGCATCGGCCGACAAGTTTTTCTGTTTGACCGATGTGTTCGAGGTGGGACTTTTATTTTGACGGCGCACAGTGCTCACATTCTCCCTCTTGTTCGCTGTTGTCATTCAGTTCTGTCTAATACGGATAGAAGTCTGTCTAATAATCAGATAGAACTGTTAAACAAAGGAATTAAAATGTACACAAAAAATTATTATAACGATTGCTTTAATATTATTAAAGGCTAATTATAATACTTTCTCGTTTGCCGTCAGCATTCCGCAAATACGCATTTATATAATTTAAACAAATCTTTGAATGACTAATAAACATTTAATTTCACAAACCTTGCAGACTTAGTCGAATCTAGTTGAGATCTTGTGAAGTGTGCATGTGACCTGCATGATCGCGTGTTCTGTGACGGTCGGTCCTATGGTCCGTGTGAATTGAATATGGACAGGAGGAGAGTTCAGCTTCACTGGAGATGCGCAATCGACAAACTTTAAACTTGTGACTGATTTCAAATTATGCTGCGCTGTATGCATTTGCCCACTGTCATTAATGTCATTTTCTCTATGTGCTGTATGTAAAATGAGTGTTACCTTGGCTTTATTTGAAAAAATATGATTCCCAATGCACACAAACTTCCCAGAATACTGAGTGCCCTGTTGGTTACAGTGTTTTTAATTATATTTTTATTATATATTTATTTATTTGTGAAAAATACTTTGTCTTCTAGAGTATAAGTATGTTTATTTTACACGTTTATTTTTTAATCCATTTTCAAATGATTTCAAATTTCTTAAATATTTAAATGAATAAAATTATATCGGTTTTATATCGGCCATCAGCCACTCTGCTTTCCAAGATATCGCATCGGTATCGGCTGTCAAAAAACCCATATCGGTCGACCACTAATTAGGATATGTTTAATATTTCTTGAGTTACAGGCATGCAAACTTTAGCGAAAAAATAAATAAATATTGTAAGGAGGACAAGAGAGCTCTCTCGGCCACCATACTGTAGGGTATCAGACCGAATCAGACAATCTAAGATTTGGTCAAAACATGGTTGAAACATGAGATGAATTCCACAGAGGCCCAAGACAACAGGATGTTCATAAATCAGATCCTGGCCCCAAGCCTGAACCAACTAGCAGCTTTGAGTAGCTCACAGCATTTAAACAAAAGAACACTTATTGACAATTCCAAGGAGATTGTCAATTTTAGGGCAAGTAATCAAGATTAAATGGTCAAAGAGATGACCTTACCTTGGCTTTATTTGAAAAAATATGATTCCCAATGCACACAAACTTCCCAGAATACTGAGTGCCCTGTTGGTTACAGTGTTTTTAATTATATTTTTATTATATATTTATTTATTTGTGAAAAATACTTTGTCTTCTAGAGTATAAGTATGTTTATTTTACACGTTTATTTTTTAATCCATTTTCAAATGATTTCAAATTTCTTAAATATTTAAATGAATAAAATTATATCGGTTTTATATCGGCCATCAGCCACTCTGCTTTCCAAGATATCGCATCGGTATCGGCTGTCAAAAAACCCATATCGGTCGACCACTAATTAGGATATGTTTAATATTTCTTGAGTTACAGGCATGCAAACTTTAGCGAAAAAATAAATAAATATTGTAAGGAGGACAAGAGAGCTCTCTCGGCCACCATACTGCATCCACAGAATGCCAAAGAAACTTAATTTCCATGTAAATATGCCTCTAAATGACACTAAAAGGACTGGTGAGCAACTAATAATTGCTATGCATAACTCCATATTATGTATGTAACCCACACGTTTAACCATCATGTCTTAATCATTTATTGTGAATGTATTTTGAATAACTATGGAATAGTTCAAGAATTCCTATTCATGTTTAGTATGTGCGTGTTTGAATCTTCTTGCTTGAAACGTTTCTTCCAATCAATTCGTTGTCAAATGTATCATATTCTTGTTATAGAAATCATGCCCAAAACTATATTCTGCAAAGAGCGGGAAAAACGTGGACCATGTGACTGATAAGAGAACATTTGATTTATGAATGGGAAGGAGGAATATGCAACACCCCGAGCAACGACGACATCTAATTGGTCAAAACACCATTTGGGAGGTGTTAAACAGCCCGGTTTAAATACTCAGCACACCATCAAACTTTGCTTTTTGTGTCTAGCTTTTCGCTTTTAGTCATGCTTTTTAGTTATATGCTTTTTAGCCATGCGGCTTCTTGCCTCTTCCTTCTTGCCTTTCGAGCCGTGTTTTCTTTTTAATCATGCTTCTTTAGCTTTTGAGCGTGCTCTGGCTTACATGCCATCTCCTCCAAAACCATGAGGAGAAA